CATGATTCCTTAGCCAGAAAAGTATTTTCACTCTCTAAAGTGTACCGTATTTCTGGATTTTTTGTGACGTCTACCATAGTCTGACTCATGTACTAAATGAATTCACGGTGAAATACTGAGGAAGCAAAAACCCCTTGGAAATTTAGAATTTCCTTGTCAACAAGTGACAAACAAACAAATAAATTAAAACCGGGACGCGATGGTGTCTAGGTTGTTTTACTTTTAGAGAACGTCTAATTCAAAGATCGAATTTAAACTCGTTTCCCCCGTTTGCTACCTTAATGTGCTGAATGCTTCGTTAAACCACAGTCCCTCAACTGGTTAAACTGTCGACGTGGAAGCAGGAAAATAGAATAGGTGTCATGCAGTGCAGTGTTTCTAATCTTAGTTTTATAATTCATCCAAATTTTTCATTCCAACGTGTCCAAATTGCAGAAGGTCGTGCACCCAAAACGTGCAATCACCATGCAGCACAATAAAAGAACGAGACTCAGTATGAATCCAGGGTATATTTGAGTTTACCTGGAGCCCAGTTACGTTGTCGCGGTGTTGCTGTTTCCAGGCAAACGAACGTAAACAAAATATGGTAGGTGGCCTTGCGATAAAAGAGGTTATCTATCTTGCACTGTGGAATTTTCATATAAATTAAAAACGATGTTATACATTTATAAGTACGAAAACAAAATAGATTATTCTATGCTCTGATAATCGTATAAACTGTACTATGTATAGGTTATAAAATGATACGCCCTTTATACTTGGTTTTGAAGTCACGACATTCTAGCATGGCAACAGTTTGCAACAATTTATTTAATTTTATTTTTGTTTTGCGCGGTACAGTTCACTTCTAACATGGCAACAATTAGCAACAATTAGCAACAATTTATTCAATTTTATTTGGGTTTTGCGCGATACAGTAATCAAGATCAGCTGACAAAGCCATGTTCTAACTAACTTCTCTCAATTTATACAGAGAATATAAATCGTGAATTCGGCGATCTGATTGGTGGAGGGCGCATAGGCATGTTAGAATGAAATATATGACATGTTCAGAGTTTGTCAGTGGACAATGACTGCTTTTGGCGTGGGACACATTTGTTGTATATTCAATTATTCTTAACTTAAGTTAGCGACATTCGTATCGCTATCACAAGTTGCATATATATACACTCAGTGACGTACGGTTGAATTATACAGCATTATAATTGATTACGGATAAGGGCAATACAAAATATAGATAAGAAGGGTAGGTGATATACTACTTTTATGTGATTATACGTTGTTCAAAAAACGTCGAGCGTCCGTGAGGTAAAGGGTTATATGTGGGTGTTTTGCTCTCACCATGGACCTGTAGGTCCATGCTCTGACGGACATTTATCACTAATCACCAAATTTCACCGGATTACCACTACGTTCCTATCAATCTTTACCCATGGATGTACAAATTAGTACATCCATGCTTTACCACACCGTTTAACCTTTTTTTATGTCATATTATGTACTATAGTAGAATAAATTTAATAACAATTAAACATCCATGTTTGCCCAAGCCTACAGTTTTCAATACAAATTGTTACTATGAATATTTTAAAAGGTATATTTTGAAAAAAAAAGCATATTTCATATTTTTTTCTTCTGAAGTGATAATCAAACGCGAACTTGATTTGATCAGCTATAAAGCCCACCGTATTATGGTAATAACAAAATATAAAACTTATCAAAATAGGAATTTCCGGTTGTTACTTACAAGACTGTCCGCGCCTAAGTAACGAATTTTTAATATTTGTATAGCACACTTTCTTGGTGAACAACAAATTATCCAACGAGGTAATGAGTTCTTTTATAATATAATTTATCGGATTTCACTAATTATCAAAATTCATCAATTCATTTACAGAATAATAATGACAAAAGTAGTCGAGTCATATGATGTGATTATGTGATCGCACCAAAGCCATGGATAAACTATCACTATTTATACCATGATAAGTGTATCCATGGTAACACTATGAATGCAAAATACTGAGATGCAAATATAATATGAACATTTCAACACGGCCGATTGTAAACAATTCAAAGCCATGTCAGGATCGTTTAATGCGTGATACCGGACAGGGACGACGACTAATTACCCGACGTGTATCTGGTTGTTGGAGACGAAGGTATGGTGTTAATTACAACAACAGTATAGCGTAGACTTGTTTATTAAAGTCGTGTAACGATCCACAGAATTAACATTAACATTGCTAAGGATGGCGTCGCTGTCAAGCTGATATAGCAATAAATCCATAGCGGTATTACTCAGTGTATCAAGCTATCAAAATGACCCGTAGCGTTAACGACGGAGAAGTACGTGTCTGTATTGTTGTCCGTGGTAACCCGTGCCAATAAGCGTAGTCGATGGTTATTAATTTGATCGTGAAATTAGCGGATAGCTAAGTTAAGATTTTTAATGAAGTTATATTCACACTTGACTGTCCAATTAAGCAAGATATAAGAATTTTTCACTCCCACTTCCGCGGATTGTCAATAAACTTAGGAAGTACGCATGCGGTTACAGTGCAATCGATGGATCGGAACATGCTTGTATTCACTGTGCACGTCAGAATGCTCGCTGTAAAACACAGACGATTCAGTGTTGTAGCACGACACCCTCCTGGATGAATTGATACATGTCATTTTTATTCCACTTATAATCCACGATTCAGTACAACCGTTATACATTGTTCAAAGCAGCTTTCCCATAATTTAAAATCGTATAACAACACTATTGTTATAACACGAATCGAGTGATGACGTCAAATATTCTGAACATGTACACAAAAGGCTTATCATAGACAAATAAGTAATTACGCTAATTATTATAACGGCAATTTGGATGTTAAGTATATATTAATTAAATTACACGCACGGCTGTATGCTGAGTATACAAGAAAACACACAATACACTTGGTACTCACATGAATATTTGATATATATAGTCTTACCTTCAGGAAATTATACAGTCGCATCACACTTGTAGAGCAGCGGAAATGAAACAAGAAGGTAGCAATGATCTATTGGACGTTGTTCATTGGATAGCGTCATTAAATTGAAATTAACATACACCAAATATGGATGACATAATTCCAGTAGATACACAGAGGTGTAGATGGAAGATACACTGACGGTGGAAGCGATGGAATTACAAAGAATTTATACAATGTAATTGCACCATGTGTACGACGACGTCACGTCAGTTATATGCTACGTCATTATCTAGATCTGATAATACGGATAGTACCGACAACGATAAGCAATTCAGGTCAATGTCACGTGTCCAATAAATGTGAATATACGTGTATATTCGTCTTGAGTTCACCCGATATTGAACGATCGATTATCAATACAATTATTATCGCGTCCACATCCGGCTATGTGTATTTAGGTCACCGTATAATGCTAGTGAGGTCAATTGAATAATTCTGTTGTGATTATCATTGCTACTTGAACATATACTTTCGCGATGAGTGCCACTTTGTTAATAATGAGTGTATGATGCTCAGTGAAATGCCGCTGTGTGCAGGCTCAGGATATACAATACACCATTCCTGTCAATTGCGCCCTCTAGTGACAGAGCGCTTCTGTAACGTCAAATTGGGTATTCTGTGACGTCAGTATGGGTGGAGGCAATCGTTCAAATCAACGACTGTGCATGGTTGCTTAGTCGTTCATTAATATAGTAAATTCTCCCAAAAACATAATCTTCACTGTATTCATTTGTAGACGTCTAGATCAACAAGATATCGACGCCTTTGTGTCTCCAATTAACGTCATAGAAGGGCTTCGCCGCTAGAGGGCGCGATTTATGGGAAAGGTGTACATGATAGCATCGTTGTTATTCATATCATCCTGGGTCGCCATGATATAAATATGTGCGTAAGTGGCGGATTTTACATCATTAAATATTAAAATTAATAAAAGTTACACTGGGTAATTGGGCTAAATGTTTACATTCAAGGAAATAGAATGTGTGTATATTGTTATAATATATGACAGAGATATAGTTTTTGATCATGTACATATAACAACAACCGTAATACAACCGGAAGCTGGACAATGAATACATTTCCAATTTACTTCACATCCAGTACGTAATACAGATATGCATGCAATCGTGCCTGTTAATATTATTCAATATAAAACATCACTACGTACTTCTAAATACTGGAAGTTTTCAAGTTGTTTTGTGCCTGTTTATATAAAAAAGGCGCCACTCTGTGATGGGAGTATTGTGCAAAGAATGGGAAGAACACTTAAAATGACGTAGTAGTTAAGATTAGAATCGATTATAAGAAAGTACATTGATTTTAATACATGTAGTTGTAAAAGTGAGGAACGTTCTTTTAGCTTCAAGCCATTCTAAGAGACAAAAATAAAATGAAAATGACTTCACTGTCAGTAAAATTATCCATTAAAAATACACGTCGGCAAGAAGAGGGGTAAAAAAAAGCGGAGGGCTCGTCACCTGCGCACGCGCGGGAATTGAGTTCTAAGCGACGATAGCGACACATGTTGAAACGTAAAGGTCCATGGGTAGACGTTTGTTCGTAAACAACGACGCAGTCTGCCGCATCACAGAGAACGACTGCCCGCTTAATTTGTGTCTCTTGACGGAGGTCCCCATCTCAAGGAAATGTGGCCGGAAAGGGGTTTAAAGTTTAAGCATTTATAATTGGAATTATAAAAATAATCGTAACAAATTACTAAAAAGTGTTATTTAAGCCTTGGCTGTATTCTCAGACAACTATAGTAGTCTGAGCTGTATTGAAAAGGGAATTGTGATTATTCTGACATTGAATTCTTTATTTCCAAGCTAATACTTAAATATCAAGTCTAGAAAATAGCAACACGGTAACCAGTAATTGATTTTTCGCCTTCAAACATCAAACAACGACTTAGAGGGCATCGTTTAAATTTGGTGAGTTAGGGAAGCCAGTAAAACTGAGGTAAAAGACTACCGCACATGCGCATTGTCAACGTGGCTGAAGCCGGTGGTTTGACTCAAAATGTACTTCCTGATTAACCATATTTTTAGTGAATTTAGCAAATTTCTCGAATTTCATTTCAATCTGTCTGATTATCTGAGTAACTAACGATGGTTTTTATTCGTAGGTCTAAGGTAACATTCAAGATAACGCTGACATCGGACCCGAAGCTACCATTCAAAGTGTAAGTACACGATGATTACGATCATTTCGCAATGCCAACCATTTCGCAACGCATATTTTTGTTCATTCATTCATTATACGACAAGTAAATATTATCAAGGGAAGGTTTGTTGGTTGCTATCAAGACACATTGGAGGATATATTGGCTGGGTATATTAATATGATACATATTGTCATCAACGCACATTTTCATGGATATTTTTTTTTAAATCTGAGGATGTCTAAGAGATTAACCATTAGATTAGAAACTCTGGGAGAACGGGGGATTTTGAACAAAATTAATCCCCCACACACTTGATAGAAAAAAGCAAAAAACAAATTTGGTTGAAAATTAAGTGAAGGATAATTTGCCCAGTAGAGTTTCTAATGCGAGATATTCTCCCAATTATTTTAAATTCTTCACATTTATAACATTTATTGACAGTATAATAATACATCTGTTTCTTTTTTTTCAAAAGTTCCTACATTATAAAGCTATTAAAATATAGTTCAGGGGAATATTCAATTGGGTGTGAACACTTATTTTTCTGCTGGTTACATACTTTCTACAGTAGCAATTTCTGCTAGTAACTCATTCATTCATTAATTATGTAAATTTATTGTAATGTCATGACAAATTGGGCAGTCACACTTTTGTTATGATATAGCACTTTACAAAAATAGTATTATAACTTATGAAAATTATCATATTCATGATTGCCCAATGACAGTGAAGATTAGTGGAAATTTTGCACTATTGCGGAGAATGGGTAACCAGTAGAATGACCTGGTTATGTTGTAAGCTAAAAACCACAACACATATCGTAATAGTATGTGACTAAATATCTAGTTGGATTTCTCAACAGACTTAGTGTTCCAGACAGTACGCCATTTACAGCTGTTCTTAAGTTTGCGGCTGAGGAGGTAAGACCATCAATAAGTCTAATGTGTTCATCTTTTGATGAAAACTACAATCTTTAAGTATCTGCTGTCTTCTACTCCACCCTACCCATTGAGCTATTTTAATAATAATAAACTTTATTTTCACTTGATATAAACTTTTCATTGGTGATGAGCACTTAAGCAAAATAAAAATACACAACCAAAATCACAAAATCATGGTAAAGCTAGTGAAAATTGTTTTAAAAAGTGTTTATACTGGCATGGTAATTTACTTAATATGTTCTCTCATTTTAAACTAGTTACTTAATCCATTCTGTTCAGGTTAAGAAGGTCATGATTGGATGAATGTAGGTCTCTAGCTAGTCTATAAATATATATATGTCCCTTATTACCTTGCCCGTACCATCAAAGATGGAAGGGAAAGGTATATTAAGGGAAATATTTTGTCCGGCGTTGTCGTCGTCGTCGTCGTCGTTGTCGTCGTTAATAATTGTTATTGTGTGCATGATAACTTTACTAATTCTATTCCAAACTTCATCAAACTTGGTCACCTTGTTCATCAGTATAAAGTCTTCCCTGAGTTTGAACAACAGATGTCCTGTATGAAAATATCATGCAAAAATTGAGAAAAACTGATAAAATATTTCGACTGTTTCTACTTGACTGATCACTGGTGATACACATCAAAGGTCACTGATCTCAGTGGAAATATGCATTGTTGTATGTGTTCAATGAAGCAAATGATTTATCTTGTAATAATATCCTTGGTAATGTATCTCAGAATCCCTTACTGGGTTTCAAAACCAACTCATGGAGAGATTGCACAGTCTGATACACATTTGCAAACCTATCAATAAATCTTTACAGAAAACAAGATGTCAGAAAATCAATATAAGCACTGCTATGAACTG